TTTTATTTCTGTGGCTTTGAATTAAAAGGAACTCATTTGGTACTATGTCTCATTCTAATGTCCCATTTTCACTAATCTCATAAAACAAAAAAAACCAAACCAAACAAAAAAACCCCACACCAAAAACCCAGCCTACACAACATAATGCTGTATCATTCTGCAGTATACAGAGGTTGGGTCATTCCATAGAAGTAAACCGCAAAAAAACATAACAATCTGATTATAATCACTTGTTTATGACCTTATGTTGTCATCCCTGAGGGGCAACATCTGCCTTTCCTTTCCAAGCAGACCTGATCAGTTAATTTACTCCTTCAGTTTCTTCTTCCTCAAAACATTAAAGGTGTGCTCCTGGCTTTTTGTGCAGGACAAAGACAAGACAGTATGACCACAGAGGGATCAGTGAGTAACATTAAAGAGAAAGGTGTTTATGCAGCATAAGTAAAAGCAAGAATTTCAGAGCAAATGAGTCTTTATCCCACCTGTGGCCACAGCAAAATTCTCACAGCTCATAAAAAGTGTGTAGTGGAAAAGAGCAGAGGTAGTACCCCATCTTTTCCTATTCAGAGTATTATAATGTAAATGGGATCATATTTATAGCTGGTTAGAGAATCTCAAAGTCTCTAGCCACCACAAGATGCTGTAAAAGGGAAACCTCTGTTGCTACAGGGTAAAAATAAAATTCTAGCACTGAAAGTTGTACTTTTACAGGACACACGCAGGCCCTTCCTGCACCTTAGCTCATCCATAAAAGCAAGCATTCCTTGTCTTGGTTACTTTGGCAGAACTAGAGAACCAGTAGGTTAGTTTTGTTCTGTAGGAAACTGAGGATATGGCTCTTGCATTCTAGAAGAAATAGAATGTAGGCTGTCTTTTCAGCCAGCAATTTAGGCAACCAGGACTTAATAGTCAACTTATTCAGAAAAGCCCAAGCATAGTTATATAACTGATGAGTTTTTGATACACTGACCAATGCACCTGTGTGTTGTGTTATGCATTCTTCTTTCTGGCCATATCAGTAAGTGACATGTCATTTCAACTCTCATTATAGAATTTGTGGTTTTAAGTTATAAACACATACAGGCAGAATCTACATTGCCCTAAGTAGCACAGGTCAGTGAAGAAGCTAGTTTTCCTTGACCTAACTTGTTAAACCATATTGACAGATATAGCATCAGCACAGTGTAATCAACTTTAGTTCAACGGCCATCCTTACTCAAGCTACCCAAAATGTTCATCTAATCTTGCAGAATTAAATCTTAGGTTCTTTGAGAAAGACTCAGCAGCTAACTTGTTTGCTTAGCATAAACCACGTGATGGCACTAGAAGACCAGATAGAATACATGGTTCTAAACCAGGCTTGGCACACAGGTAGGTACATGCTTTGGCTCCTTTCAAAAGTTAAGCTTTTTCCAGCATGGTTCTTCTTTCCACATAAGATGGCTAGGAGTTTGGGCTGAACCCTGAGTTCAAAATATAGTGATAAGTAGTCTTGGTTTTTGTCTCCAGAGACCCCTGATATTCACCAAAGTCAAGATCTTCACATAAAGCTTCTTGGAACTATCAGAGCATGCCAAAGCATGTTTTCTCACAAGCTGAATTCGATATCCCTGGACCTAGGACAAAGTATGCCCTTGGAAGTTCAGATTCCCATGGCAGTGGGCACAGCAACAAGTTTAGAAAAGGTTTCCTTTTGAAACAAGAACTTTTGATGTTCATGAGAAGCACAGCCACATGGTGATACAGAAACACAGAGATTAAATGGTTCAGATTAAGATTCTGTCTGTATCAATTAATCATTTGAATGACACTCCCCAAGACTTGGCAAACGCCTAAGCAGAAACATCACACTCATTAGTAACATAATTTCATTGTATAAACCACACCAGGTTTTTCAGTGGCTAAGTGCCTCTCATCACTCTAATTCATTCAAGACGCTGGTGCAAAAAATGCTTGGACCAGTTGACTGCCGGTCATGTAGCAACCTACCAAAAGCAACTAAATGCTAAAAAATCTAGATAACAAAAAAAAAGATATAATCTATTTCCTTACATTTATAAAGATCATGTAATTTTTTATTTTTTTTTCCAGACAACTGCCTATAAACTCAAAAGCTATTTAATGTAATTATATTTATTCAAAATAGGATTTTAATTTCTCGGAAGTGCAGACAACAATATAAGACAGAGAAACCCATGGTGGAAAACACACTGCAAGTGTTACTTTCTCTACATATTATACAATTAGTACACTAAATTCTGTGTACAACATTGAATATATAAATTGGTATCTTCTACTTGACGTCAGATTCTTATAAATACCATTAATTCTCACAAAAGCTACTCATTGTTTCAAGAAGTTTCCTACAATGGTCTGTGATTTAATTTACCTTGAAAAAAAAAGTCTGCTTTTATAACCAAACATTAAATAAAAAAAAAAAAAAAAAAAAGGAGAAAAGAAAGAAATGCATTAAGCAATTGTAGAAGCAAACCAACCCAACCGGGGCACCACGACCAAAGCAAGCCCTGTAATAGTATAATGACCTTTAATGAGTGTCTGGGGAAACAATACAGTCCTAGAATAAAAGACAAAGGGCAAAACCCATCATGGCTCCACTGACACTAATTCAAAATGATTTTCAGAACAACTAAAGAATGTAAGAGAGGTAATCTGATCCACCAATCTGACCTCACTTTGATTCTGGGGCCCTGCTGCTGCCATTTCTAATTGTCAAACACTCTACATTTCACATCTGCTCATATTTAATGAAAAGCTGACTCTCACCACCATTCTTTTGAGTTAACTAGCTCTGTCAAGATGGGCATCATATGACCCCTGTGCACTGCAAAGAAAACACACTGATTTCTATTGAAGCCCTGCCAGTGAAATGTTGCATGTGTGTATATATATATTTTTTTAATTGGAAAAGAAAGGCTTATGCTGCTTTGCGAAGAGTGTGAATTGGTATTGATTTTCGTGCTTATTATTAACAGTCAAAGGTGACTAGTCTCACAAGGGGAAGAGTGAGATCTATTTTGATTTGATGAAGTGATGAAGGGGGGAAAAGGCCCTTGAAAGATAGCATGCTAAAAATCCTCAAGGCTGTCAATATCACTTATCCTTCAAAATATAATATAGATCTAACGTGTTTCCCCAAAGCATTGTTCTTTGGTGGAAATAATACATTATTGTGGAGGTTTCTGGCTCAGCAGGCAACACAATCAAAAATGTTTACTTTATCTGCCTCTGAAGAGTCTTAAGTGAACTTGAAAGCTATGGTAAACCTACAAATTATGGTTTTGTTTCCTTGCCAAACAGTGCTAATGGCAGAAATTTTACCCATTTGTAGGGGACATATTAATTTAGTCTGGTCTGGTTGCTGTTAATACCAGTGCTGGGACCCAAGCACATACCCTCTGTACTAGTCTGTACTAATGCAAACTGTACCAGGCACTGTGTTATTGAGGCTGTTAGGGTGTGTAAGTAGCACTGCTTGCAGTAATTCTCAATCCAGGAAGGTTTCTTCTTCACTTTTCTTAACAAAATATGTTCTGCTGTATTTTACTCTGATAAAGGTACTTTTAGAGGATAAAAACTCCTGTAACTTAAAATAGGACTTAAAACTGGGAATCACCTCCCCTGAGGTGATACATGAGTTGCAACCAAGTAGATAGAAAGGACATTCAGAATGCTTATACACATATACAGATAGAAGATTTCTCGTAAATTTTCTCAGAAATCCTATTAGAATCAGTTTAATAGACATAGCCTTCAGACAAAAAATACTAACAAAAGTCATAGTATTGTTACATACTCCAAATTTGTGTCTGGCAAAATAGTTCAAATTTCAAAATAGTTAAAGCAAAGTCCTTCACCACTTGAACTATACACTGCAATACACTTATGCTATCAAAAGGCAACAGATGCATAATCTACTAACTACATTATACTCTTAGTAGTGGAAAGCATTTTTATCCATGATGACTTGTAATCTAAAGTGGACATGCTTCCTGATAAAGTCTCCTAATATTCCTTATAGATATATCAGAATAATGTCACAGTTTTTCTTTG